AGGCACAAATGTCGAACGAATTCAACTCGTCAGCAGTGAGTAATAAAGGAATACTTGCTTGTCATGGATACAGTTTTGAAGAATATCCTGATGCATTTGATATGCATCCATTCACTGATAGAGCAAAATCCGTGGGAACAGGGATAACTTTTTCACTCTATGGGAGGCTCGCCATTGATTTGTTTACTTGCGAAAAATTGTTGCTACCAAAGTTCGAATTAAACTTATTCGAGCTATTCTTAATTTTTACATGCTATCTGATAATCCAAATGTCAGTCTGAAAATTACTGATTGTTCGCAGTTTACTAGAAGAATTTTAGTTGCTGAACCTAATCATCAATACTTGCAATGGAATCTGGAAGGAGAACCTGCTCAATACAATTACATGGAAACTATACCAACAACCTTTATCATTCCATCTCGTCAAAACCAATTCATACAAGAAAATATATTCAATAACGCTCCAATAAGAAGAGTAGCTGTTGCAATGAATACAAATTCAGCTGTTGCAGGATCTTTTCATGAAAACCTTTTCAATTATCAATAATTTCATTTGAGAGAGCTGAGAATTTTTCGGGGTGGAAGAGCAATTGTTTCATTATATACAACTTCTTGTCTTCCTTATGATACAACAATGAAAGCAACGCAGTTTAACGAAGATTTCCCAGCTCTTCCTATGGAAGATTTTTAAAATCACTATATTCTAGTTTTGACTTGACCTCACTACAGGATGCAGCTGAACAGTTGCGTTTACCAGAACTTAGTGGAGAAAGTTTGAGATTAGGAATGTTTTTCCAGTTTCCCTTGGAGCAAGTAACGGAAGTGATAGTCTTGGGAGAAAGACTATCAAATGTTCAATTTGAAAAATTCGTAACAGTCGCTAAAACTGTTTAGTTTTTTTGAGTTTTCAGGTTCCTATAAAAATAGCAGGTCTCTGTACTATCTATTTTGTTTTTCTTCATACCTAAATCTCCAGAAAAAGCAGATAATGAATGCTGTTTAATTGAAAACCCAAGAAAACTCTTCAACTTACACTGTAAAACAGTGTTCAATAAACTTTGTCCAGTTCACAAGTCTTATGTATGGGACTTTGTTGATTCAATACCTTAATGCCCGTAAGTCAATAACTTAAGGTTTCTTCACCCTAATTTACAATCTCAAACTATCTTTTTCTTTGTTTGAGATGTAAATCAGCTAACAATTGCAAAGATGGATAATTTTTCACTTCTGCAAATTATTGAAAGAATTCCTGAACTCGGGTTCAAGTACATGGGATCTTACCCCTCTGATAAAGTACCTCAACTAACAAAATACACTTTTGCAATTGTTAACTCAGCTCCAAGCAATGATAGAGGGGAGCACTGGATCATGATAATGCGATTGGACGAAACTTACTACTTTGCTGATTCTTTGGGTCGAAAAAGAACGGCTTATTCCTTTCTATCAAAAAAGTATCGGCGAATGGTTCCCAGAAAACTACAAAAAACTGATATTTTATATATTTTCTTTGTAATTTACTTTTTTTCTCTAAATTTTGACTTTTTTCGAAGATTCAGTAGGTTTCAGAATAGATTCAAATAAATCAAAAGTAAAAGTATCTAATAAATATTTTTTTGATCAAATTATAACAATCTTATCGTTTTTTGGATATTTTTGAAAAAAAATTTCGATTTTTTTGATAAAAATTCCAAGTTTTTGCTCAAAAACTCTTACCATTGACTTACCATGCACCAAAAAACGAAAAATATAACCTTAATTCTACAATCTACAAGTAATTAACAATTAATTGTTCCCAATTAGATAACGCGCGCCGAGATTTTGTTCCCAATTAGATAACGCGCGCCCAATTAGATAACGCGCGCCGAGATAAATCTTTCCACACAAAAACCAAAAAACCCGTTTTTCTTACCATTATCTTACCATCACACAAACCATGAAACCTACCATTGGTATTCCCTATCTTAATACATTGTAGACTCTCTACCCAATCTTAATACATAGCATGGCGGACCGGAAATCTATAACGTATCTTAATACATGGGGTCCGCCATGCCCCCCCCCCCCCCCACTTTAGCCTCAACATCTACTACTTATGTACTCAATACGTGAAGAAAGTTTTGTTTTTGTCGGAATGCGGAAACTCATTGGTACTATATACCGCTGCACAATTTTAAAGTCTAAGTTGAGTATTAATTTCTTGAAGTTTTTCGATACATCTTATTTTTGAATCAAAGTTTCGTAGCGGATTCGATTAGTCTGTCGGATTTTTACCAATTTTTTTTTTTTTCAAACTTATTTCCAGTTTTGTTTAAAAGATCAATAAAACTCTGTATCGATATTTTTTAATCTCAAAATCAACACCATAAGGACCTCTCTAAGAGATCTAAATAAATTTAATCGTGGAAGTTCTTTTTTTATTTTTGAATTTTTTTGTTTTTCTAAATCCTTTACTATTTTCCTTTGTTCGAAGTCATATTGCCACCTCAGAATTATGCGTTTTAATTCATACTTGTTGTATCGGAATTGCTGCGAAACTGAGCTTCGCCTGTGTGTTCGAGTGAAAGGAACGCCGGAAAAAGAGTGGGATAATTTAGAATTTGTTCCCAAGATCCAAATATGGACACCGTACAATCCCCCCCTAATCGATTTAAGGGAAATAAAATACTGGTTGTTCATATATCAATTCTGAGGGCGAACTTTTTTTGATCTGACTAATCAAAAAAAATTAAAAAAATAACTATGAAGTACAATTTGTTTACATTAACAGTATAAAATAGGATTTGTTTTGGAAAGTATCAAGCAGTCTTGTTTGAAATAATTATTTTATGCCAAATCAATTTTCGAAATTAAAACGTGGCTATGGGGGAGATTCTACGGTAGGTCACCTAGGGGGGAGGGGAGATTGTACGGTTGATCCCAAATTATAAAACTAGCAATAACACCAGACAATTACAATATTGCCAAGCCCTTGTCTTAATTGATCTTGTTAACTATCCCCCATGCATGTTTTTGACATACTTTTCTGTAGAAAAAAAGCATTTCAAAAATGTCAAAAATTAATTGGTTTTTTATTTTCGCGCGTTCGTATTTGTGTTAGCTACTATTTATATAGGAGTGCGGTCTGTATTTAGACAACCGCGTATTCATACTCGTCAGTATTTAGACAAATACTGTATGAGCCAATCAGAATCGAGATAAGACATTAATAATCCAAAATAAAGAATTATTATTCATTGATTTCTTCCATATCTCGATTCTGATTGGTTAAAATGGTATTTGTTTAAATAATGACGTGTCTGAATACGCGGTTTTCTAAATATTGCTACGTAACCATTTATATGAAGGCGGAGCAATAAGCAGAATGGTCCAAGTGCAGAATGGGTCCAAGAGCAGAAAAACAGAAAAATATTGACTTATATTGGTTTATACGGGCTAATTGGTAAAGCAATTATTAGAATCGTCAAAAAAATACCAAGAAAACGAATATTTTAGGCATGAATTGACTAATTTCATTAAGGTTTTTGATAATTTTTTAAAAATTTTTGATTAAATTGCTCAAGCTATGCATAAAATGTTCGTTGCTTTGCTATTATTGACATTTGATGACGTCTGATAATTATTTTACCGATTAGCTTATAGAAGTTGACATTTTCTATTTTTCTGATCATGGACGTATTCTGCTCTTAGACCATTCTGCTTTTTGACTGGCCACCCATTTTTATAGTACCTATATAAAAAACTTTAATTAAATTTATTTTCTGAAAATTGTCTTAAGCTATTGAAAATGTGACAGCCAAAGTTGAATTTTTGAAAATCGAAATGGGGGGGGGGAATAGTTAACAAGATCCGTCTTAATAATCTGAGCGGCTAGAATACTCACTCGTCATCTTGAGTGCTCTTAGTAGTAGTTGTTAGCTGTGTTGTCTCGAATTGCGGTGTGTATTTATAGGTTCCAAAATTTAAAAAAAATCAGTCCCATAGGTTCAAAATAAAAAAGCAGTCGCATAAGTTCCAAATCTTTTCAATTGGTCAAAGGACTAAATTAGCCGAGTCTCGGTTTAAGGTCGCCGGTGGCTTTGCGGTGATAACCGGGTCTAAATTTCGTATAGAGTCCTGGTGATTTCCCATAGGTTCCAATGTTCATAGGTTCCAAAATAAAAAATCAGTCGCATAAGTTCTAAAATTTATCTTCTTGAACTTTGATTGGTTGAAATTTGAGCCAACGAATTTATGGATTGATTGTTAACTGTTCAACCAGCATAAACTCAAGCTGCAGAATAGTGACCGCCGCAGCCGCGCCAACGTATTGCGAGCTTGCAACCAAAGTGTAGGACTCTAGGTGCGTATTCATAGGTTCCAAAATAAAAAAAATTAGTCCCATAGGTTCCAAAATAAAAAAGCAGTCGGATAAGTTCCAAATCTTTTCAATTGGTCAAAAGACTAAATTAGCCGAGTCTCGGTTTAAGGTCGCCGTTGGGCGCGCGTCGCCGCTTCGCGGCGATAACCAGCTCTAAATTTCGTATAGAGTCCAACCCTTTGGTGGCAAGCTCGCACCATGTTGGCGCGGCTGCGGTGGTCACTATTCTGCAGCTTGAGTTTATGTGGTTGAACAGTAAACAATCAATGCATAAATTCGTTGGCTCAAATTTCAACCAATCAGAATTTAAGAAGATAAATTTTGGAACTTATGCGACTGATTTTTTTATTTTGGAACCTATGGGAATTCACCCGACTTCCATTTGATTATCAGCGAAAGCTTTCTTTCTTCTGCGTGGCGATTATTTTATTTATGACCTTTTGCGACATTCGTGACCGCCAAGTGTCGACATGAGGAATCCGGTAGATAGTGTCCACATTGGTGTTACCGATTGATTCAACGTTTTTGTTTGCTTGCTTAAATGAAACAAGTGAGCTTATCGCAAACAGGTGGTTTCTTTGTCGAGCTAGGCCTTGAGTCCAAGTGAACTCTTCTGAAGTTGTTTTGTCCCAGACTCTGTTCTAGAAATGGGATAAAATTACGTCGCAGGTACTTGGAAATACTATAGATTATTTTATGCTTTGCGATCAGTGTTCAGAATGGAATTGCAACTGCAACTTATACAGTCATTCATAATACTGCAATGCAGTTATGTCGCCAGAATGCTATCTCTACAACACAAAATGAATGCATTGTTTGATTCAATCGACAGAATGTTGCATGTAAAATATATTAAACTCTTTTTCTCTTTGTCTTTCGTCCAATTTAGTCGAACACGTTGAATTCATTTTTATTTGACATCTTATACTTGATTTTCTTTAGTTCGTCGAAAAAATGTATATTTGTTTTTTTAGTTTTTGCAACATTATCAACAGAGTTGTTTTTGTTCTATTTCTCAGATTTGTTGTTTCATCATGAATGGTGATCTAACTGTAAATAAATACTTGCGAACTCTTTATAGTTTCCACCATAGATACATTTTAGTGATTTTCATTTTATTAAAATACTAATACGTTTCAGAGCGAATGCTTTTTGACTCATTACGGTCCATTTCAAGAGCGAAAAGAGATGACTACGTTACCCAAATTACCCTTACTAGCGAACAAGACAAACCAAGATGGCGATGTGTTAGGGGGAAGGAATTTAGCAGACGCAGCGATTGGTGGTTCGACCGACAATGGTCCACGGCTTGCTCATTTTCATCAACTCAGCTGTCACTATAACAGCGTCGGCTGCGAATTCGTTGTAAGTTCCGACGATCGATAAAACAAGCAGGGTTGGCTGTTTTAAAACAGGGGGGTTTTAAAACAGGTGTTTTTTATTCATGTTTTTAATTATTGTTTTATATTACGTCATACTGCAACAATATGAAGCTCAGCTGGCATTGAGAGAGTCTTCTCATCTATGGGCTTCCTACATTCTGACTCGAGAAACCGCTTAGATTCTGAAAAAGTAGTCAAGCTTGCATTTTGCTTGCGTGCCCTTAACCTGTGACGTATCACTTTTATGTTTTACCATGGCCTAAGTTTTGCCTATTTAAGTTTTTCATAATTGAAGTTTCAAATTGGTTCCATGTTTTTTGTCAGCCAAGAATGTGTGGTATAATTCTGACAAAGTAGTTAAAAATCTGAATTTTATACGTTTTAAAATGTTTTAAAACGTTTTAAACGTTTTTTATTTAAAAAACGTTTAAAACTTTTTAAACGTTTTTTATTTAAAAAACTCGTTTGAAACCCAACCCTGAAAACAAGTTAACTTTCCTACTTTTTCTGTTTTAAATTTCTGTTGCTGAATTCAGGGTTGGCTGTTTTAAAACAGGGGGGTTTTAAAACAGGTGTTTTTTATTCGTGTTTTTAATTATTGTTTTATATTACGTCATACTGCAACAATATGAAGCTCAGCTGGCATTGAGAGAGTCTGAATAAAAATACGTTTTAAACTCTGAATTTTATACGTTTTAAAATGTTTTAAAACGTTTTAAACGTTTTTTATTTAAAAAACTCGTTTAAAACCCAACCCTGGCTGAATTACAGAAGGGAGGGGTTGCTACTATTTAACGACATTTATTATTGGCTAACCATGAATTGTTTCTTATGGCAACTTGATTACTTGAGGCGAAATTTTAAGCTACAAGTTGCGTTGGTGACGCATCAGACGGCATTGTCATGAAATACTATTTCTGCTTTAGTATGCTTTTACTATTACCATTTTTAAATTTTTTTTTCTTAAGATAGGCGCCCCAATTGACGCGATGCGTTCAATGTGATTCTTTCAATAAAAACTGAAGTTCAAAATAGTTGACATGAAACGCAAGAGCAAAACTTCGATGAGCCAAAAAACCTTTCAAGGAGAATTTTTTGAGAATGTTCAAAATCTATATGTTTGCTTTGATAGAATCCAACAGAAGTTGAAGATTTGCCCGTAATTTCAATCAACAAGAAACGTTTCGGGCGAAAATATAAGTCAAAGTTGCTAACGTTTTGCTTGATTCATTTTTTGGAACTAACCTTAGTATCTTGTTTCATTTGGTTCTGGAAAACCTCATCTAAATAAATCTAAATTTTGTGTTAAACAAGTTTCAGATTTTCGGTGTGTGACAAAAAGGTTTTGAAATTTGTTATTGGCATTTGTTGAGTATTTAATTTCAGCACTTTTTTGGGCTGCCTCGACCGGAGGATTAGTATGGTGTATAATCGGTGCGTACCCACGGAGCCGCATTCCCGGTTAGCCAAAAAAACTAAATACCTCCGTTTGTATTTAAAGTAAATTAAAAAAATTGTCACTGAATTGAGACTCATTTTGATTGGACAGCCTGATTGCTAACAAATTTCCAAAAATCTGTACGTGATTTGATTGGCTGATACGTTTACTCTAAATGATTTAAACAAAAACAAAATTCAGGCTAATTTCGTCCTAACAACAAAAGTCCGGTTTTTCCGGATATAGGTAACAAATAAATGCCCCACATGGTATCTACAAAAAAAATGGTTTGAAAGGGGAATAACTTCTTCAATCAGGGAGTGTGAGTGTGGAGGTGAGGGGTCTGGGAATTACTCTCTCAACCGCAAAAAAATAAATTACATCATAAGTTTGTGAACCCATATTTGTTTTTGCCGGTAGAGTGGATAACCCCAGATAAGAAAACAACAAGGACAAAAATTTGTGTTGAATAGTACTTGTCGGTTTTATAGTATGTTTTTATAAAGTAATGATATGGTTATTGTAATATTGAACGGCTGAGGGAGCAAAAAAAATTTTCGGCTATCCGAGAACGAATATATTTTTCGGCTATCCGGGAACGAATTTATTTTTCTATTTTTCGGCTATCCGGGTGTTCGGCTCCGTGACACGCCACCGTATAATCCAGTATGGTCCAGTATCGTAACCGATTTTTAAGTTTCCTACATTATCAGGACATGAGTTGTTGCCATGCTATAAACTTATCAATAAGTGAACATAATTATTTATATCTCTGTCGCCAGTAAGCGTGAAAAAACCAATTATGTTCTTGAAAAGTCGCTGTGTTCTGACTGGCTATTGAGGTGTGCCAATTTAACTAGATATACTTGCGACAGAATTTTTTCATAGTTTTATTTGACTTTTAGACTGTCTGTTCAAGAAGACGACTAATATATCTGAAAGGTTTCACCTTAATTTTTATTACTCGAACCCATGATTTTGAAATGTTGTAATTAGTTAGTGAGTCAAACAACTTAATTTCCTTATTTGTGAGCTAAAAATTACGGGAATTCCAACTTGGGTTTCATTTAAATTGGTCACAATTTGAATTTTTCATGAAATCTTAATGATTTTGTTAAAGGGTGACTGAACTATTTTTGAGGGGGAAGAGGGGACAAACAACGAAAGAAAATTCCTGAGAAGTGAGGGTTTGTGAGGGATTTTTGAAAGGCTTCGACCAAAAAATTGCGTTTCGATGTTATTTTTGAAAGTTCGAATAATTTTCAGATGAAAATCACTTCATGATTATTTGACATTCATGTTTGAATTGTTTTTGCTTGTGCTGCTACCTGATTCTATTTTCATTTGTCTTGCAAACTAAGAAATTTCTGCTAAAAATATCCTGAAAAGGAACTTTTTTCTTCAAATGTCCTATATTTAGACTTGATGACATGATTTGTTGGCATATCAACAACACCACCCACACTAGCTAACGAGTGTTTTAGCTATGTCGCCAGAGAGGAGTTGTTAAAGCAATTGTTTTTCAGTTGCCATTTAAGCCGTTGATCGTCGATCGATTGTTATTGTTCTGTGTGTTCTGTGCCAGTTTGGTTGAACAGAAAGACTTTTTTCCGATACTCGCGACTAGAGCTATAAAACAATAGAGTGGCCAGAGAAAAATCGCGAATAAAACTATTCAACCGAAGGGTTTACCAGCAGACTGGAGTTTTATGTATTTTCTTCATTGTCTTGAAGACAATGAAGAAAATACATAAAATTCCAGACTGCTGGTCAACCCTTCGGTTTAATAGTTCTATTCACGATTAGTGATTACTAGCTGGCCACTCTATTGTTTTATAGCTCGTCGCGAGTATCGGAAAAAAGTCTTTCTGTTCGGTGAAATCCCATTTGTACAAACGTTCATTTGTACCAAAATGAAGAATCGGTCCCATTTGTACCAAAATTATTCAACTCGTTTTCTGATTGGTCGAATTGTGAGCCAACTACTTATTACATTAATTTTCTACTGTTCAAACGGAAGAAAACTAAGCAGCATAATAGTGACCGCCGCAGTCGAGCCAACGTGTTGCGAGCTTGCCAACAGAGGGTAGGACTCTCTACGAAAATTAGAGCCGGTTATCGCCGCGACGCGCGCCCACCGGCAACCTTAAACCAAGAGCTTAAAATAGGAATAAACCGGATAACATGCACTACAGTTTTAGCGCTTTGCGAACTTTCTTGAGTTAAAACTTATCTTAGTTAAAGGAAGCTGTTGACAGTAGATGACTGGTGCAAAGCTAACAAGTTAATCTGACTTATTAAAATAAGAAATTCTGAATTGGTGGAATTTGGCAAAAGTTGCTGTCAAAGCAGAATTTCAAATTAGGAAAAAAGTCTTTTTTTTATACGATTGGTTTTAAATATTTAAGTTTACATTGAAAGATAAGAAATTCAAATTCAAGGATTCATAGCTCATTTCAACGGAGTCTTATATCGCGCTTGGACTTTTATTTTAAAACAATTTAAATAAAACCTCTTCAGTGCCAGAGGTTTCATACGGTCTTTCAGTCTGTAGATGCATGTTGAAAGAAAATCTAAACAAAATACTGATTGTTCAAAAAAGGGCGTTGTATGCCATTTTTAAGAAAATTTGATCAAATATCGTACCTATCCGAAGGATATGACATTGATGCTATTCAGATTCTGGATATATCAGGTATAATTTTTCGAAAAAAATTGTTCGCTAATTTTTGAATAAGTGTCTGAATGTATATTTTTTGATAAATCGAGCATCACAGAAATGTCGGTTGAATTAAATTATCAAATGCTATAACTTTCTACTGAAGATTTTCTTTCTGCTTAATTTAAAATCGTTTACAAATAATCAAGTTTTGAAGTTTAAAAAAAAAACAGAAAATTCATTCTTTATTTAACATAACAATTTACTAACAGATGTTTTTAATCTAAAACTATTATGCACGTTTAAACTAATTTATTCTGCTCCTTTGTTTTGGCTCTCTAGGGTGCAACTAGTTGAACTGCACAGTCCGTTCAGCTACTCTTGATAGTTTATGCATTTCTGATACTTATGTTTTTTTGTATCGAGTTCAAATTCATTCAAATACATTCATAAGTAGTAATAACTTACTTTGTTTGCCTATTCAATTATTCACATTTGTATAGTTTTTTTACGGTAATGTGAAATGCTTACCTTTTGGCTACGTCTAGATATGTATTTCATTTTTAGGCATCAACTGAAAGTGAACTAACTTCCCACTATGCGAACAATCATTGCATAACGAACCACCTAAAGTACACAGTGGTTGAACTCGAAAACTTAAAGCAGCAAATGGCCCTGCAGAATCAAAGCATAAAGAAATACCAACAGAACGTGGAAAAAATACAGCTGGGCCATAAAATCGCATTGGCGAAAGCCAATAATTCCATTCAACCCGAGAAAAATATTTCATCGGTGGCAGAAACGGACTCAAGGAAAGTGCTGGAAGAAATAAATATGAACAAGGAAAATACGACAATGGCTATCCCGCCTCAAATTGAAAAATTCATTGAAAAAGCGCCTCTGTGGAGTTTCAAGAATCTGTATTTTGTGTATCAAATGCAGAGCTCTTTAGCAGAAATTAAAGATGAATTAAGTGTTGAGAAAAAACTGAGTGAAGACCTGTCAAAACAGATGAAAATTCTTCAGGAGCAAATGAGGAAAATTCAAGGTCAGTATCATTACTTAAAACAGTTGTCTTGGATATCTAAAGCTTCTATAGGAGCAGGGGCCGATCTAGGATTTTCTCGATGGGGGGGGGGGGCTATTTATAATAGGTAGCTTAAAGTTGGAGCAGACATTATTAATTAAGAGCAAAGAACCCATTTCAGAAAGATGTTCAGGCAACAATTATGTATTAAGTTTGCCTTAAAATTCAAGAGTGCATGCTAAATTTGTGCTAATTTGGCGTCATGAATTTTATGTTAGGGTTTTGGTATAAACCATTTTTTGCAACTATCTATAAAAAACGTCATGAATTTTATGTTAGGGATTTTGATATAAACCATTTTTTGCAACTATCTATAAAAATGGCCATCCTCGCGGTCGTCTAACTTTTTAAGCAATCCATCGTCCCGTGCACTTTAAATCTGGTTTTTCATTTACACTGGTTTTTCATTTACACTTTTTTTTCGAATATTTGAACTTTGGTTGGCTAACAAACTTATTAACCAATGGGGCTTTTCCTGATTCGAAGGGTAGAATAGTTGGTGGAATAAATTGGGAAAATGCAGGTAATAAATCCTTACTCAACGGGTACGCATATAAGAATTTATTATCTGGTATTGATAATACTGTATTTTAAGGTCAAGTGCCAGGAAAAGAGGCGACACAGCTCTGGCTGAACAGAAATGCGAACTCCACTTCGTCTCCAAACTCGACCATGATGATTCCCGATTCGGGTTATCAGACAGCCGAGGAAAAAATGAAGACGGACTCTAACTCGTTAGGGTCAACTATATCTGAAGTTCCGAATGAAAAAATAACTGAATTGATCAATAGAGTGGAAAGTCTTGAAAAGACATGCGAAGAGCTAAAAAACGACAGAGAACGATGCAAACAGTTGGAGAGATTCGTTATGCACTTGCACGAGAGAATAAAAAGTTTGGACTGTGGCCGAACGGGAGTGTTCATTTGGAAAATCACAGGATTTGAAGCTATTTTTGACAACGCGAAAAAGCAGCACGAGTTGAAATTGAAAGGACTTCCCTCGACAGACGCGGCCAACTCGGCCTGTGATTTCTGCAGTCCACTGTTCTACACTGCGCCTAATGGATATCTGATGTACATGAGGCTCTACCCGTTTGGATGCGACTCGGCTGCAGGTAATATAGTCGTTTGGTGTATTCAATAACGCGATTGAATAAATCAGAATATATTCGATGAAAATAATCTAGCGAAAGGTTAATCCGGAAACCAGTGGAAAGCTCATTACGCTGCCCTGTTAGCACGCTAAAATCAAAGTTCAGATATTTCGACACTAATAGAATTAATATCCATTATTTGAAATCGAATCCAGTATATATGAGCTTTCTAATGTCTAGATAAAATAGTTCAGATGCAGTTTTTGGGGCGCGGGCTGCAGTTTTTTCTCATCAAAATTAATTGGCCTAAGTCGCACATCGTTGTAATAATATTAACAAAGATAGCCGGTTACTGTGCAAGTAGCACAGAATTATCCGACCATAGTCTTTAGCTTTAGCAAACTACGGTTTAGAACGTTTTTTTTTCCAAATTAGTGTAGTTTTTTTCTGTTTGGTGTGATAAAAGGATCTGACTTAAAGATCTATTTTAGGCATATTAGACAGTCATTGTAATATAGGCAAACTGGACAAAAACTGTTGTAGAAAAACGACTAGAAACACTAAAAACAATGAACATTTTTTTTCAAAAACGTATGCAGAAAACTTTTGAAATTTTTGGTTTCCAAAATGAAGCTGAAAAACTCCAAAAAGTATTTTACTTGCTTAAAGTTAAGTTTTAAGGTCCTCATTTGGGCATAAATTAGCTTGTAAGCCTCCACCACGCTCACCCTATCTTCTTGAATTTCAAACTGGTTTTGCAACCTGGTTTTTCTTGATACTGAAGAAGTTTTTTCAATGTGGTTCGAATCACGACTGAAAGGGCTTTAATATGACTTGTCACTCAGCCCAGTCAGATCATTTTTTGTGGTACCTGTTTTTGCGTTGGAAACAAAAAGCCAAAAAAATAAACACACCCGAATACAAAGTTACTCCCCATTTTCAATGGTCGGAACAATAATAGTAATCATTTCACTTACGAGCTTGCGAAGTGTAGTGTTCATTAAAAGTATTCATTTATTTGGTGGCTCTTAGCTATAATCACGATCTGTAGCATTCGACGTTTCATAGCTTATGTTCTCTGTTTTATTTGTGGCTAGTTTTTGTGATCTATTAAGTTTTAGTGGCTGAGTGGTTAGTGCGTGAGATTCATAATTTTCAGATCGCAGATTGAATGCGAGACGTAGCCAAATTTTTACTAATTTGAGGCTGATTTCTACTTATTCTTATTACACTTTAGAGAGCTGCTTTTTGTCGTAGAGCTGTGTTAAAAATTGTTTTGTCAAAATGAAGCAAATGTCTCAAAGGTGATGTTTATTTTTTTGTTAATTTTGGCAATTACTTAAAACTGTTTGAATCTTTTTGTTTTATGGTTTGAAAAAATTAATTCAGTAGCTTGTCAAGTTATAACTTAAAAAGGTTAAATCTAACGTTTTTGGTTTCAAGCTTCTCTCCTAAATGTTGTTTAAAAAGCAGTAAAACTTGAAGTACTTGCTTTTTCATGAAGTTCAGATCACAATGTATTTACACTTGCGAGAGCAAGTGTTTTGTAATTGGGAACTAGACTTTTTTCCCGTAAACAACAATTGATGAATGATATTGATGTTGCTGTATTAGCGATTTTCACCTGACCTGGAGGTAATGCTGTTACCTTTGCACGCTCCTGTCTGGGTTTCGATTCCCAGACGGACCTTGTTCTTTTTAGTGTCTGAATTTTTTTCCGGGAAAATTTGAGTAGTCGGACTAGAGTTTGTTGGCTTTTGTTTTGTCGGCTTACTTGTCTAACCACGTTTTTTTAGCTTTAGGCAGTTTTATTGCAGTTTAAAATGTCGTTGATTAACTCAGCAGTGTTATCGATTGCAGATATTGAAACTACGCGCAAAAATTAGCTGGCAGATTTGTTTTTTTTTTTTCAATTTTTTGCGTGTCGTTTCAAACAACATAAGAAATTTTTTGTTTTGAAGCTTTTTTGCTTGAACAGCTTGCTGAAAAAACCTTCTTTTTCCGCGAATTAATTCAAGCTATGCAATAAATTTATATATTGTTTCATTGCGTGCAAACATTGCTGGAAAATCACAAAGTGTTGCGAGGCATTTAAGCTGTCAAAATAATTTAATGATCTGTATTGACTTTTTATTTGCTCGAGTGAGTCGTGAACTGGCTTAAAATTTAAAACAACTAAAATGTTTTTGAACTTTTTGGAGAAGCTAACGCATAGGTCTGAAGCTTTTGAAAACAAGTTAAACTCCAAATTTACATTGCTGAAAAGTTTTCTCGAAAAATTATTGACAATTTTCAAAAATTGCTGCATCGTTCGAACAATTTTATTGAAAGAATCTTTCCCCAAATCGAGCAAAGCTATCAATAAAGCCGATTTTTAATACTTCGAAGCGACTCAATGCAAGCTTGAATTTTAATCAAATTGTCGTTGGAGTTCTTTAAAAGTTGATACTTTTTCTTTAGTAACTAAAAACGTGTAGATTATAGCGAACAACTCGTGTTTAAGCTGCACCCTGATACGATCATTTTTTCACGCTCAACTGGGAATTTCTCTCTTTTAGGCAACTTTGTGTCTTTGTTCGTGGCTCTAAGCCCAGGAGAGTATGACGGAGTACTCAAATGGCCCTTCCTCAATTCGATCGAGATCAGTCTACTTAGTCAGGAGGACCCGGCGGACAAGTGGACTCAAGTGATCACACCAGGTGGCAACAACATGACATGCTTCCAGAGACCTTCGTCTAAATCTGGAAACATGAGTGTGGGCATCCTCCATTTCATCGTCCACAGGTGAGTCACCATTAATTTCCACTTCCTCCTTTGACTTCTGCTGAAATAAGGTTTTTTAATAGCTATGTAAACTGAATGATGCAATAAATTACACAAAAAGATGTCAGCGTGAACAAGTGAACAGATTTGAATTATTTTGTTTTCAGCAAATTGTGGTATAAAAAGTTTGGACACAGTCATTTGTTGTAGTTTATTGAGGAAGTCGGAAAAGGAAAAGAGCCAAATTGATGAAAACTAATATTTTCAAAATAGACAATACTTTTTATTACAATAGAGTGGCCAAATTCATAGATTAAATTGAGATCTGATTTTTGTGGTTTTAATATTTTAGTTCTTTAATATGGTTTTCAAATTAACCCAAATTATGATCTCATTTTACCGCGTGCTTTTCCGGTAAAAATTGATCGTTATTGTTCACTCATTTCTTGTTTGTTTCAGTAAAATCTACAAGGAGTCGCCGTATAAGAAGAACGACACTATTTACGTGGAAGTGCGCATTCGTGAAAACGAGAACACATACGCAGGACCAACCAAGGCTAAAGTGCCCAGAAGCAGCCATGGAAGCAGCCACTAAACGCTTTCCTTAAATGGTAAACAAAGTTAGACTTCAGGCTTAGGGGTGGGGACTGCTCGCATGGCCGAAAGTTGTCAATTAATCAATATACTCCAAATTGTCCAAAACTGACCGACTGTCACGCTTCGTTTTAAATATTCGAATTCGGATGGGCTAGAATATTTGTCGCTGTTTGCCCATGAGGGATTATTCAGGGTTAAGGGCGAGTCAACATTTTGGAGCTAAAAAACTAAACAAAAGCACCACGTAGGTTTGAGCTGAACAACAGCGGTTCTCCACAACAGATGAATAGTTCGTGCGTACGTTTCTTTCCTCTTTGGCGAATGGTTTTTGATTATCTGAAACAAAATTTCGATAGAAGGTCACTTTTAAAGCTGGCAACTCACTCGTTTCGATTATTTCCTGGTAATAAATAACTAGCATTGACTTGGTCTGAATTGTCTGGACGCGAAAAAACAATGTGATGTCATAATAAGAGATCAATAGCCATTTGTTGGAATGAAATGAACAACTGGCAGATAAAAATTTTAATTATGGGAACAATAACGATTTATTGTTTTTAAATTGGATTTTGAATTTCAGGAATGCCTATCGCGGTGTCTGGTAGAGTCGGAACGTTTCAACTCATCCAACTGTACATATCGTTTCTTTACATCTTCGTGGAACTGACTACGTTTTCTTCTTCTTCTAATTTGTTCTCACCAGGCAAGTGGCGGTATTAATCAGTCCACTACGACTGATGATGAAAATGGGAGGGATTTATTATATTCCACAAGTTCATTGCTGTTCATAATAATGATATGATGTTCGTACTTGGCAAAATCCTTTTCGAGAAAAACTCACATCAAAACTCGAGAATTTTGAATCTTCAGACGATTTTATGGTGCTACGCTATTATCATATTATGTTAACACGCTATTAACACGTCTTTTTTAAAGCATGCCATTACTAAATGAAATTATCTTTTTCTCTAAAACCAGGAGTTTTAATTTATTATCGCTCTGCGAATGGAATGACTGGCAAACTGCAACAGTTCCCTCTGTTTCCAGCTTAGCTAAGTCATTTGTGACTATTCATAGCTTTTGCTGCAAACAAGGGAGTATTGTAGAAAAAAATCAAGCTAAACAAACTCAACTGAACTCCTGCTTTCATTCGTCCCTTAATTTATTGTTATATGCATTTAATTTTCAGTTGGTGAAATTTAACGTTTCAATTTAATTTGACCATTTTTTGGAATTTCGCTTAAGTGGGTTGTACGCACGGGGGAGGCTCGCTGGAAGTTTTGGTGTTCAGTTACTACAGCTTCTTGTTGGAGCAACTTCAGTATCTGATTTTAAAACTTCCAAGTGGCCAAAAAGCAAAAAGCGTACTAACTGAATTCTCGTCTTCCAGCTTCATATTTACAACAGCTATTGTTTCATTATTGGTGTTTTTTGTCAATAAGTTGGTTGAATTGGTCGCGGATTTCCTATGAAATCACAGAAGTGACAAAGGATAGCCAGTTCAATTGACAAAGAGCCTTAAAAATGAATTTGTCTCTTTGAACCCAGCTGATTACTTCTGCTCGCTAATCACATACAGGGCCTCCGAAAAATATATTGGTATTGCAATAATTGCAATAAATATTATTTTTAGGGCAAAATAATTTATTTTAACATAAAAATAATTGCATTATTTATTGATCCATTTCAAAATATCGTGTATTTATTGGAATTTTGCAATTATTATCGCAATAACAGTAACCCTTGATATGACGCTTGTGTTGTTGTCGTTTTCTCATGTGTCACATGTTGCAAATACAGCTGTTGCATTGCAAATACACTTGAGTTCTTGTGGCTTACAAAGATAGTTGTGCAACAACTTGTGCTGTGTTTTAAGTTACAAACAATACTATGGTACCCCGAACATCAAAAGACCCAGTTGTTGAGTTCTATTTTACAAAAATTGGGGTAGATGAGTATCAATGTAAATGTGGGTGCAAACGAAAACGCAAACCAAATTCTGGATTTACTAATCTTATGTCTCATATTGTGAAACAACACCCTAACTGGAGGGCAGAAATTCTTACAGATACCAGTCAAGGAACCTTATCTGGAGATGCTGTTATATGCGCTGGATCAAACGTTATATTGCTTTACGACCTTTTATTGATTGGGCTGATCCCGAATTAGCTGTTTTAGCCCCTAGTGCGCAAGAAAACTTATTTTTGGAAACAGTGCTAAAAGACCTCGAAAAACTAGATTCAGTTACCAAGAAGTTGCAGAATGATCAAGTAGATATTCTAGACGTTAGAGTTTTGTTTGACGACGTTATCACGCAGTATCCTGATTTAGAGCAATATCTTTCTCCTGGTGCACAAATTGTTCATTCGTTCGGGTTTGAAAAAACCTTAGTGAAAATTTTAATGGGCGAAGAAGCAATACTCAATTCAGAAGAACTTGATTTGGTGCGATTTTTCAAAGTAGGAGGAGATTCTGACACTGTTGCTGCAGAGATCGAGAACTACGCTGATTCAGTTTTAGCTGCCAAAAAGACTAAACTGGGAAAGATGTATGGATATTCGGTTAAATGGATACCCCCTACTTCAAACATAGTTGAACGGCTTTTTAGTAAAGCGAAACTTACGTTGGGATCATTGCGAACATCTCTCTCCCCGATGCATTTGGAATCGATTTTGTTTTTATTTGTAAACAAAATGTACTGGAACGTTTATACAGTTGAGAAACTAATTTAAACTTTTCAAGACCAATTTTTTACGTAGAAAATATCAGGGATCAGCAATAATTCATTGGGCCAATTTTTGGGCCAATAATTGCAATAATTGATTATTTATTGCAACAGTTAAACAATACAATTATTTATTGCGGAAGTTTCGCAATGGAATTATTTATTGCAAGTTCAAAATATATTGCAATACAAATATCGGAGGCCCTGATCACATACACTGGTTTGGAAGCATGACTGCTCTGCTTTTACAACGATCGGCCGCATAATAGGTGCTTGGCTTCTCTGAAGCAACCTGTGACCCTATTTTAGCCGATCGTTTTAAGTGCGAAATGTTCATGTGCATTTTGTTGTGTCTAAATTTATGTTATATTATTAATAGATTAAGTTATTTCATAAATTAGCTTGAATTCGTTGCTTCAAGAAAGTATCATTCCTGCTTTGTTTTTGTTTTGTTTTCTTCAATTTTCTCTGTTATGCTTACTAACATCCTTAAATTAGTTAGTTGAGTTATAGTTCAATTATTTTTTGTTGATGATGATGTGAAACATTTTCTGTTCACGCACGAGTGGTCAATGAAACCCACATACAATTAAATCGTTGGAAATGGTTTATAAAGCAACTCGACGATAATGTGCTGGTTTAGTATTGATGTTTTTGTTCGCATCTATGTGAAAATTGCAGTACTGTATTTAATGATTTATTTGTGCAGTCTTAGTTTTAATGATCTGCGACTTCTCTGAAGTCACGTTTGATTCGTTTAAACTTTGACTTGTTCAGTGAATTATTTTTTGGTGGTTCTCTTTTGATGTAGCAGCAAACAAAGCTTTGGAATTTATATGAAACAACATTGCAACTAAAAATTAGTGTCAGAAACTTCATAGTCGCTAGATAGTTTGTGGTAACACTAATTTGAAACAAACAATTTTGGTGAAACATGAAATTAGTATAACTACATTAACCTTTTCAGTTTCGTGCTCATTTATATTCCCGGTTTGATGTTAGTATAACTACACAAGGATTAGTTTACAAATTGATTTGTTAACTACACAAGGAAATAACTTTTTATTTCTGAATTTTAATCTTTTTGAATAGAATTTTTTTTCAGAAGATTTTGTCGTTTTAATTGAACGTATACCCCAAATAACCGAGTTCGTGGCAAACTGAATTGAGTGAAAATAAGCTAGCTAAATGATGAAGAGAACACGTGGAAGATATTTCTGTCATTTGGTTTAATTTTGAACAGATGATTTTCGCAATAGCTCATCGCTCAATTCTGATGACTTCAGATACATAACCAATCAGATACATAAATTTACAATCTTTTTTCAAACTAGCTGAATTGTGAAGCGCGATTCGTTTGCACAGCTTCTTGTGAAACAAAAAAGGACCCACATAGAACTAAATACCATCCTCCCCACGCTTTAGGAGGAGCAATATTATCTTGATTTAAAATATAGATAGAAAGTATGCAGCCTGCTTTCAAAAGTGGTGCAAGATTTGGTTTGAAAATCTGAGTTTGAGTGAATAGCCACATGTCTGTAAACTTGAAAATTGGCAGTGAAAAATGTCTGAAATCATTTATCATTTTTGCATTCATTCTGATTTTGGCGCTCAACATTCACCGAAAAAGTTTTTTTTAAGAAAAACTTTTTAAAAGTCTGCGTCGATATTAGTTTTATTTGCTAAAAATCAAGCTTCACCTGACCAAACTTAATAGCCTAAAAATTTTCATGACCAAAAGTTCAAGTTCAATAATCACAGCAATTCAGTGCTGAATCGCAAATTCAGTATTTGTCGTTTTTTTGAGGGTGACATGAAAAAAATTCAAATTTAACAAGGATAGCTGATTACAGTGCAAGTAACAGAGAAGGTTCACACCATAGTCTTCAAAAATCTACCAAAAAATTTTTTTTTCAAAGCAGTGGCTTTTTCTGCGTAGTGTGATAAAAAGGATCTGACATAAAACTATAACTTAGGCATATTCGACAGTCAGTAATATAACAAACAGGACAACAATTTTAGAAGAAAAATGACTAGAAAAACAAAAACATCAAATTTTTTTTTCAATTTTGAAGTTTTTGATTGGTAAAACGGCATTGAAAAATCTAAAAAAAAAACTAATTTTACTTGAGTAAAATTAATATTAAGCTTTTGTAATAGGCCTAAATTAAAAAAAGCCTGCTCGCTGGCTTTCGTCGCTTAAAATTAGACCACTTATAAAAATTAAAAAGGATTTAAAGTTTCGAAAGTATATTTACTGATAGAATCTGGCCAAATAAAAAAACTGCTCACTGATCCAACAGTTTTTTTAGATTGAGTTAATTTTTTCAAAAGAGAGCAATTATAAATTTTTCTTGAAAATCAATGGCTTTCAACCTGATATATAATTTTCTTAAGGTGGAGAAAGTTTTTTGCGATTTTCTAGCTTTTTGTTTTTCATGACTTCTTGTAAACTATTGGAATTAAACTGCAAATTAAACGTAGAAATAAGGGAGTCCATGGTTTGTTCCCTTTTCTATAAGCGGTTTATTGCTCAAGTTCTTAACAGTGTCAGGCATATCAGACATATTTACCAGTCTCTTTAGTTCAACCATTCACCGGGGGAAAATTAGTATTTCAAAATGTAACTAAGAATTTGGTCAATTATTTTAGGTTTTTCTAACTGTTTCTCAATAAATGGCTCTGAAAACTGTTCTCAACCACTGTAGTAAGAAGGGAAGACCACCATCGTTTTATTTCATAGATAAAAAAGTAAAACGCTCTTTTTACTTTGGACGCTCTTCCCTCAGGAATTTCACCCCCTGCCGACACAAAAGGTTCCGCCTGTGTACTATTTTGAGAAATCCATTTTTGGCGGCGGACCCTAAATTTTTCTTAAGGTGAAAGGGAAGCGCGCCGAAAAAAAAACGCAATTTTGAGGGCGGGCAACATTTACCTCTAAGTGCCAAAAAACGCCTTTTTGGACTGTATTTTGCTTGCGGCGCATAAAGTTTGGCCAAAAAGGGGTCTGCTCAGTGTTTTCGGAGAGCTCAGAAAATCAACTTAGTCAATATTAAAAAAGGTCCACTAAAGTTTTTGTGAAACCCCCCCCCCCCCCCGGTATGCTGATTTTATCAAATATTTTTTGATGAATATAATTGCGCTCGCGACTAGCAATCGTTATCAAATCGGATTATACGTGTTTTTTAGTTAACAAGTTTAACTAAGTCACTTGAATCACTTTACTTTTTTCATATGAAATCAAAAGTCAGACGTTAATTTGCCCATAGGGTGAAGAGCTACCTCACCAACCTATGAAGACCAAAGTCGATGGTTCGCATCCGGTCCGGATCTGTTTTATTGTAAACAAAAAATTATCCGTGTGTCAAAAAATTTTCCGTGCGGCAGACTTCTGTTTTTTTTTGCCGGCTCAAAGCCGCAGCACCCAATATGCCTAACATTAATGCTTTTTAATTTTACTTGAATTAAAAGTCATTTTAGTGTATTCCGAATATGGGCACGTAATTGAGTTCCAAGATGTTTCGGCGATTGTCCGTATGTCAAAAATTATTCGTGTGTCAAAAAATCTTTGGCAGACTTATTTTTGCTTGTTTTTTTTTTGCCAGCATAATGCCGCAGCACCCAAGTTGCCTAACATTTAGACATTTTTAAGAGTAATGAACGTAGTGAGTACTCTTATATATGTCTTGCTGATTTGTTTTGTTTTTTTTTCTGGAAAAATCTTAAAATTTGATCACGCTCAGTTTAAATTTTTGACAGTTTGACTAGAGATTTATTTTTAAAATCAGTGCTTTTATTTTAATAAAAGGAAGGCAAATCAAAGAGCAAAATGGTGAAAGTCACAAAA